CCCCTCCCTCCCTCCCTCCCTTCCACCACTTCCTCCCTCCCACCTCTGGCATTAGGATTTCAGCAGGAACAGCCAGAGCACATTTAGGATGTATTTAAGATGCTAAAGAGCGGTCCAACCAAACCACAAGTGCCAGATGACCCTCTCTGAAGGATCTGTAGCAGTCAATGAACGTTGTGGTGAGGAGCACAGGTAAATCTGTATTTTGCAGATCAACGACCTGCAGAAAGGCCCAAACCAAATTTTCAGCCATTCCCTCCATGAAAGAGACCTGGAGATCGGGAGGCTGCGGAGGGAAAGTGAGAAGTTGAAGAGGGACCAGGCTTTGACTGCAGGTTTTGTATCCCTGGAGCTTTGGGTCAGGGCATGAAGCAGTTTGGGACTGGCTCTGGATAAGGAGCAAGCATTGGCCAAACTGTACAGGCAACAAATCATTCCTAGTGCCTTGTGGGAAGGAACCCTAAAGAGCTCCTCATTCCACCCCCTGCCATGGGCAGGGACACCTTCCACTACCGCAGGCTGCTCCAAGCCCCATCCAGCCTGGCCTTGGACACTTCCAGAGATGGGGCAGCCACAGCTTCTCTGGGCAACCTGTGCCTGAACCTCCCCACCCTCACAGGGAAGATTTGCTTCTCAATATCCCATCTAAATGTCACACCTGCGTGATCTCTAACCAGAGTTCTTTTCCTCAGGTCTGGTGAGCAACATGCAAAGAGAACTCCTGCAAAAGGATCAGAAAATCCAGCAACTTCAGCAAGAGACTGAAAAACTGAATAAGGAAAACCAAGAGAAGGACAATCAGCTGGCCGTGGTTTCAGCCAAGGTTGGTAGCACTAATTAGGGGCTCAGTAATTTATGACCCCCTGCTTGACCTGGGGATTAAGGTGGGAAAGCAGGTGAGAAGGGTCGTGCTTCTCTCTGGTGAGGACAGTAGCAGCTGTATCACTGGGATATAGTGGTGATGGTCCCTTGACCATGTCTGGGTGTGCCAGGATGCCCATGGATCAGGGTCTCCTTCCCCAGCTGGATCTCCCTCCTTGCTCTGCATCAGGTACTGTATGCCCTGGACTCCTGTGAGCACAGTAGCTGTTTGTACACAAAAAATATTCCTGCCAAGGTCCTCCCGAGGAGCCATGTCACTGTGCCATGGGACTCACTGGGGCCCAGCCTGGATTTGTCCTTAAAGAAGGTGGCTTGTGCAGCAGCAATTTGTTCCTCTGCATGGGCAGCTCCTCCTCAACTGGCAGAGCTGCACTGGGAGCATGATAAGGGCAGACTGTGCTGGCTGCAATGTGCCAGGAGATCACAAGGATTGACTTGTGAATCGTAGAATTGCTGAGGTTTGAAAGGACCTGTAAGATCAGTGAGTCCAGCCATTACTCCAGGACCTCCAAGGCCACCACTAAACCATGTCCCCAAGTGTCTTTTAAATCCCTACAGGGATGGCAACTCAACCACTGGCCTGGGCAGCCTGTGCCAGTGTCCCATTCACAGCAGGAGTGATGGTATCACTGCCCTGATGGTTATTTTTCTTGGTTGCCATTCCTTCTAGTGCTCAAGAATTAAAGAAGAAACAAAGCATGAACTCAGAGAGCAAGAGCTAATCTCCTGCAGAAATGTGAGTCAAAAGTCATTTTGGGTAAGCAGTGGCTGCAGGAAAGCATCAGCAAGGGAATAATTAACTGAGCATTGTAAGGGAGCTGTTTGGAACTCAGCTCCTGTCCTGAAAGGCACATAATGGGCATAAGACCTGGGGAAGTGTAAATTCTGTTGGATCTGCAACTGGTTTACAGTGTGAGGGGGAGGGTGCGGGAGAGGGGGCTTGGGGGGGACGTGATCGGAAATCAGATTGAATTCCACTTGTAAGCTGATATAAGCACAGTAAATACAGGTTAGAAGAGAATTCCAGTAAACAAAGCGAGTTAGATGGGCAGAAAATCTTTCTGATGAGTGAAGGTCATCTAGAGGGGCAATGCCCAGCTGCCCTGGTGAGACCCCCCACCCTCCCCGGGCTCTTGCAGCGCATCGAGGAGCTGGAGCGGGACCTGCAGGGGCTGCAGGGGGAGATCCGGAAGCATGAGAGTGTCCAAAAGCAACTGGCTGAGAAAGCCAAGGTACTGTTGGCTGCAGGGGACACACAGAGGGCTGGTGCCACCATCCCAGAGGGGTGGGACGGGGACCAGCAATCCCTGGGAGCACAGGCTGGATGGGCAGGGCATCCAACTGTCCTGAGCTCTACCATGGACCCCAATGGAAGAAGAAAAACAGATGGCAGAGTGCCCTGTGTGGGTGTTGGGTGAGGAAGTCAAGGATGGACAATATCCCAGGGGTGAAACCCAGACAAAAGGGTTGTCCCTAGGAAGGGTCGACGCTGCAAGCCCACTCCCTGCACCAGGATTGCTGTCTGTCTCCTGGTATTCCAAAGGCACATTTGGACTTGTCTGATGGGAACAGTGGTTGAAATGGCCATGGCATGGTTTTGGATGTCACTCTGAGATGCCAAAGCTCTTGTTGCAGGCAGAGGAGGAGCTGAAGGCAGCGTGGTCCCAGCAGGCGGGGCAGCTGCGGGAGATGGGGCGCAGGGAGCGCCTGCTGCGCTCTGACATGCAGCGAGCTGGGGAGCAGGTAGGGGTGGCAGGGATGGGAACATCACCACTGGGGCTGTGAGCAGCACAGGGGTGCAGCTTCCCATGGGGAATATGTGCCGTGGAAACAGAAACCCAAAGTCCTGAGCACCAAACCCTGGCACGGGGCTTGTCTTGTCACTGGGTGAAGTATAAAAGGCTTATCCAGAATTTGTGTGGGCAGCATGGACAACGTAGCAGTTTAATAGCATACAAAAAAGGAATCTCTAATCTTAGTTATGCTGTCTGGGAGCCACACCAACCTTCCTCAGTGTCTGGGTAATGCTGCTGTGGGCAGGGACAGCCCTTTGCAGATAACATCACACTAGATATGGACCATCAGTGATCAGCAGAGCAGCTGTTAATGATTCGTGGTGTTTGTTTCTATGTGTTGATCCCTGCTGCAGCTGGAGTCCTTCAAGACCCAAGTGATGCAAGTCTTTTCTCCATCAGCAGCTGGCAGCACAGGGAAACCTGTAACAGAGCAGCAGGTGAGTTTGGCCACCAGCTCACAGAGATGTTCAGAGCCTGCAAAGCCCGATGCCTTGTGGCAGCTGCAGCAGAACAGCATGGTGCCTGCTCCATGTGCAGTAGGGCTGCAGCATCCAGGCTTCTCCAGAGGAGGATTTGGGCTGTGGCTGTCCCAGGTTAATAGCACTGCTCCATTGTTACAGCAAAGCAGCCCCTGGCCGGATAATAATTGGCACATACTCCATGAATTCACAGAAGGCTGATCAATAATCTTTATTAAGAAACCCATTGCTCTTTTTATGCCCTAGTTCACTACAGGTAGAATTAATTGATCTTTTAATTAAAACACCATCACCGTTGGCTAATTAAGAAACCACTCTTTGGTAAACAAATATCCATAACACATTCCACATGTTCACAATACCAGGTGCAGCAAGATAAGAATTGTTTCTCATTCTTTTCTCTGATCTTCTCACAGGCTTTCCCAGAACAATGCCTGGGAAAGTTGTGTGTTTCTCTCTGTGGCCAGAGAGCTGCTGCCACACTCCATGACATGAAGGGGACACAGTTTTTTTTTTCTCTCAAAGCTTGGAGGGAGTCAGTGGTCTGCAACAGGGACAAGCCCAGGAGTCTGACGTGGCTGCCAGTTTGCAGCAGGTCTCAGTTGTTGCTCTCTGAGACGATCCCTGGCCCCTCAGCTGGAAAACAGTCTTATCTTCCTCTTTCTTCACCCACTTTTGCCAGGTGATAGAGAAGGTCAGGCAGATCTCTGATGAGAACCAACAAAGTCATGAGAGAGAAAAGAGTCTGCAGAAGGAATTAAGCTCCAGGCTCACAAAGGAGAGGGAGGTGTCTGCAAACATCGAGGTGTTCAAGAACTCCCTGCGGAAGCTCCAGGTCAGCTCTTTAAATACTGAGGACCAAATGGCTGCTGGGAGGTAGTAGCACAGGGTGTTGTGTTGGCCTGAGAAAAGGCCAGTGTAAAGATACAACCCTGAAACAAAGCATCATCCCTAAGTGTTCATGTTCCCAGGAGTTTGTCACAGATTCTCCATAAAGCCCCTCCTGTTCCAGCCCCTGCCATGGGGAGAGACACCTTCCGCTGGACAAGGTTGCTCCAAGCCTCATCCAGCCTGGCCTGAGATGTTCAGAAATGTTGTGTCATTTGCCAGTCCCTGAAGGCCACTGACAGTGGAGACTGGCTTGTTCCCCACTGGTTCCATTTCTTCCAGGCTTGCCTGAGGAGCCCCTGCAGCAGTGCCAGCCTGCGAGGGGAGCTGGGGCAGCTGGAGCTGTTGTGCCTGGATCCCCCTGTCTCAGCCATCAGGACAGCAGTGGTGGACATGGCACGTGGTCCTCTCTCCTGGCTGGAGGGTGCAGAGCAGCTCCTGGACAGCGCAGGGGTAGACCTGCACACCTCTGGCAAAGGTCTGTGTCCTACGAGGCATCTCTGGGAATGTAGGATGTCCTGGCAAGCCAGATGTAGAGGATAAAGTCCAGCATGAGCCACTCCTTGGGGAAAAAGTCACAGAATCATGGAAATTTTAGGGCTAGAAAATGCCTCCAAGGTCATCAAGTACCACCATTAAGCCAGCACTGTTCCCAAGTGCCACAGCTTCACACTTTATTGAATACTTCTAGTAATGGTGGCCCATTCCAATGCCTGACCATCTTTTTCATGAAGAAATTTTCCTGGATATCCATAATATGGTGTGTGAGCACCCACACAGTGAGGCTCCATTGACTTTTGCAGGGCTGTTGGCTGCTCTCGGGAGCTTGTTGGAAAAGAGTCAGGAGATGGCACAAAGGAATCAGATGTTGCAGGTACAGAAATATTTATGCACATAAACCAGATGGATTTGGACTCTTTCTGTGGGTAAATATGATGGCAGTCCCAAGCAAGCCTGGGGATGTACAGTAACTGAGATCCCTGAGTCTAGAGGAAATGTAAGGTAAGGGAGACAGAGCCCACTGTCAGTGTGTCCTTATCCCTAATGCAGCAGGATGGAGAGGAGATCTCTTTTGTTAATTTTTTGTGAGTGAATGAACACAGGAGGTTTATTTCTTGCCTTGCTGCTAACACACTTCCTTTAATGCCTCCATATCTCCCTGTAGGAGCAATTAGAGAAGCTCCAGGAGCTGCAGGCGGAGCTGCTGCAGGGGCACACAAAGGAGCTGGAAGCAAAACATGAGCAAGACTTACAGAAAAAAATCCAGCAAATTATCCTGGAAAAGGACAAGGAGAGCAAACAGGTACAGTGACATGGTTGGTGTTTCAGAAGAGGAACGTTATGCAGGAAAAATGGATCTCTATAAGAGTGTTGGATAATGAGAGGAGGAACCTCTAGTTCCAAACTGAATGCAGTCCCAAGGGACTGGATATCCTCCCATATGGATCCAAAAGTATCCATGGTGGAACTGGGAAGCACCTGCAGGTAACATCAGGGTACACAGCTGCCAGTCAGTCACCAGGGGAAAGGGATGCAAGGAGCATCGTGATCCATGAGCTTAGGGAAACATTGCACTGCTTCTTCTCAAGCCTTCTCTCCCTCCTTCCCCATGCTGGGGTCCCGTTGGCTCCTTTTTGGCTGGAAATAGGTATTCCTGTGGAGCAGGGGGGCAGCAGTCCCCCTCAGCCCCAGGGAGGCCCAGGCCATCGCACCAGTGGCTCTGGTGTGGGGTGCAGTGTCAGGGTGCGAATGGGTGTTTTGCCACGTGTGTGTTGTGATCGTGGTGGCCTTGTAGGACAGTTTCCAGTCTGCTTCTGTGTCTGGCACCTTGGGAATGGTGGTTTCCTGGTGTACAGTTTTCTAAGGAATCAGGCAAGGAGCAGCCAAGCACCTCCTACCCAGTCTCTCTGCTGTGCTTTTCCCCAGGTGCTCCCATCCTCTCTTTCCCTGAGTTACCTCGTGTCCTGCCAAATTTTTCTCCCATCACCTGCCCCTGCTCCAGAGTAATGACCCTCCCTGCTGCTTTCCTCCTTGGAGCTGAGGTCTTTTTTTCCTGAAGTGAATCTGTGGTCTGTCGATTCACAGATTCTGGAAAATGCTGTCACTGAGGAGAAGGAAAAATGCAAGAAATCTGTGGAGGAAGAACAGAGGAAGATCCAAGAGTTGGAAAGCCACCTAAGAAGCATGGCTGAGGTGAGCACGGGAGGTGAAGCAGAACAGCTCACTCTTGGAATGAAGAAAAGGGGAAATCTAGTGTGGTGCTCCAGGGGCTCAAAGCCCTGGTAGATGAAGGGGCTTCCCTGCCTGCCCCCCCCTGCCCCCAAATACACAGAGAGCAGCTCTGCAGAAAGAAAAGTGGATTCCTGGCTAACCAAATTACTTCTAATTTCCTCTGATAGGCAAACACAAAGAAGGCAGAGGAGCAGGAACTGACAGAGGGAAAACTGAGAGAAGCCTTGCACGAGCTGAAGAAAATTACTGCACAAGAGGTACTTGCACTGACCTGTGCAGGTGGAGGATGCAGTGTTGGAGAAGAAGGCTTCCCCCATCCCTGAAATCCTTCCCTCCATTCTTGTCACCACCATCCAGGAGAGATGATGCTGATGGTGGTCCCAAAAGAAACCCCCAGTGCTTCCAACCGAGCTCCCACATCTTGTTTCCCAGGCACTGTTGCAGCAGCAGGTGCTCCAGCAGAGCCAACAGCTCAGGGCTGCCCAGGAGGAACATGAGTTACAGAGGCAGAAACTGCAAGAAGAGGTAGCAGGATATAGGGAGCAAAGCAGGCAGCATTCCCTGACCATCTTGGCTTTAGAGGACAGGCTGCTAGAGGCCACTCAGCAGCAGAAGGTGCTGGAGGAGGAAAAGGCAGCACTTGTGGAAAAAATGGAAGGTAGGTGAGGGTTTTATGGTATGTGCCTGTACCAGGAACAGGCTGGGTTAACGTGAAATGTGTGTGGAGATGGAACAGTGAATTTGCTGCTATAGAAAACATTGGGAAGATGTTGAATGAAGGTTATTCCCCTGCAGGACAAGCTCTGTGAGGCCCTGCAGAAGCTGTTTTATTGTTTGGTGGTTTTGTCAGGGCTTTGCCACTGGAGAAGGGCTCTTTGCCCTCTAAAATTACAAGACTGGCATGCTTTAGGTTTCTCCAAGACAGAAGCAATCCCAATCAAGGCTGGATGTCAAGAATTGTCCACTTGGAACTGGACTCTCGGGGGCATAGGTTTCCCAAAGAGACAGTCCTCAGAGCCACCACATGAAGGAAATTATTTGTGTAGCAGAAGCAACAAGCACGTAAGTGTTACAAAGAAGTAACAGACCTTTTTTCTTGTGTCCTTTAGGACTTCAGTGTGATGCCCACAGCTCAGCATCAGGAGCTTGGCTGGAGATTTGTCCTGCCATGGAGTCTCATGTTTGTCTGAGGTGAGCAGCACTCGCTGATGGTGGTCAGACATGCTTGGAGAAGGGCAGGGACCACTTGGGAGAGCCTAAGGAAGTCCAATGCCACTTGTCCCAAGATCTTTTTAGTCTGGGATAGGACTCAAGTCCCTTTACTAGGTTGAAGTGATCCTAAGAGCATAGAGCATCAAAGTGATGCCAAATAGCACGTGACAATCTGCCATCTGGATGGCTCCAGGTGAGAGCAAGTGGTGTGGCCAATCCCACACCACAGGGTGACCCCAGGGGACCAAAAGGCAGGTTAAAAAACAATTAAATAATTAAATATTAAGCAGGAATGCAGCACAGGAAGGCGTGCATGGGCTCCCTGCAATGAGGTTTCCCAATGGCTGTGAGATCTGCACTGGTCTTTCCCAGGAAACTGCAGGAGGAGCTGGCAGTGGTGCAGGGCACACTCCTGGAAAAGAAGGCAGTCATCAGCAGGCTCAGCAGAGAGCTGTCAGAAACCAGAACCAGGATGTCGGACATGAGAGGTGGGTGATGTGCACTGTGTGGCTGCCATCACCCCCATCCTCCTCCAAGCACACACAAATCACAGGAAATTGATGTCACAATTCTCAGGCAATGCTTTGTCCTGCTGGGGGCAAAGCACGCAGTCTGTTCCCTTTGGGAAGGTGAATTTCCCCCCATCTTTGGCTAAGTAATAGCAGTGGCAATGAGAGAGCAGAGTAATCAGGGAGAGAGCAGGTAGACAAAACTGAGCTCAAAATCACACTGGTGAACTTCTTGGAGCTGAAGATGTTCTAAGCCAGTGGACTGGGAAAGCCTTGCCTGGGATTCCTCCATGGGCAGTGCTGTGAACATGAGGACAGAGCCCACGAGGAATGTGTGGAGTCAAAAAATGCAAGTCAGAAAATGCTGGTGATCTGTCCTCCTTCAATATGAAGGAAAATTGCCACAGCAAGGAATTGCCCTGGCTTGTACCTCCAACAGAGGGACTGGGATTTAGTAAACCAGGATGTCCTGTTGACATGGCCCAGGATCTGAGGGCATCTGCCAAGGCAGGGCTCTGCAGGGATGAGCCCCATTGTTGCTTTGATGAGTGTGCACCAGCTGCAGATCCCCCAGGACTGGGTGATGAGTCAGCCAGCATCCCATGAGGCTGTTCTGTGCCTAGGGGAGCTGAGTGAAGAGCAGAAAGTGGAGCTGGAGCACAGCCAGAGGCAGCTGAAACACCGGGAGTGGGAAGTGAACCAGCTCAGGGAGAAGCTATCTGAGATGTCCAGCCTTGTGGAGGAGAAGGATCGGGCCCTGAAAGCAGCAGCTGAAGAATTAAGGTACACCCATGAAGCAAGGCTTCATGGATGCCATTCTGTGTGCCCAGCAGCTGATGGTGTTTAGGGTTCTCCTCAGAGCAAAAGGCACACGTGAGAGTATCAGGATCGAACTCAGCTCTGAATCCGTGACACAGGAACCAAAATGGGGGTTTAGTGGAGCTCATGCCAGTAGATGTGTCACTCAGGTACTTGTATCTAAGTGAGTGTTCCCATCTACACTGTGGGTGCCCAGGGTGCTGCTCTCCACAGCTGTTTGGGTCACCTTCATCCATCATAGGGTCCCACAACTTCTTGTCTCTCCACATAGCCAAGCCCAAAGGCGCTGCCAGGTGCGGAAGGATGCTTCCCAACAAACACTGGAGAACAAAGAGGATGCTCCCAGGACACCAGTGCAGGTGAGTGAAGCCTCCCAGAGAGTGAGTCCTCATGGAGAGGACCGAGGTGTGGGTTTGCCAAGAGCACTGATGGCACGTGGTGTTTCTTGGCATCATGGTGAGAGCCGAGCCTGGAGCTGCCCTGCACTGGCCTGAGGGTGGGATGGCCGGGCATCCTTCCCAAGCCAGGGCTGCCTGTGCTGCCTCTGATCCAGGGAACCCACAGCGCCCACCAGGCTGCTGCTGGTTAATGATCTGATGTTTGCACAGCACTTTGGAACCACCAAGTGTTGTGCGTGCTAATGGCTGTGTTAATTGCCAATTAGAGGAATAGCAACATGCAAGCATTCCTTCCTTTTCCCAGCTTGGTAAGCTGTGGATGCTGGCTGTGCAGGTAATGCAGAACCAGTCCTAGGCTTGTATGTGCAGAATTAAGGGCAGCTTGTTGCACAGGACGGGAAGAAATGCTCCTCATTCTCCTGTGCCAAATCCCTATTTGATTTTCCCAAGGCTGGAAAAGGGAAGAACTCGCAGGTGGTGGCAGCAGCAGATGGAGGGACTGTGGGAATTGTACATTCTGTTCAGCGATGGTGGCAGCCAGCAGTGTGCCAGCAAGACCGGCTGGCTGCGGGGGCCGGCGTGACTCACAGCCAGCTGATGAGCGGGTGGGAGGCACTGCCCATCCTGCTTCACATTCTGTGTTGGGGAGGGGGAGATCCCAGTGCTGGGAGTGCCATTCAGGAGCGGGATGGGCAGAGATGTGGGGTGACAGCAGCCAGACCGGAGCTGGGGGTCTGCAGCCATCATCAGCCCTGTGGCCCTAGTCCCACCACAGATTTTTGGATGTTTGCCGTAATGCAGGGATCTGGATGGGGCTGGGAGAGGCAGTGCACGTGTAGAGAGTAATGTCCCAGTTTGTGTTTGGGACACAGTCTGTGAAGTGCAACGGTGTTTGTGTGTAGATGGCAAATGCTCTCTGGTGGTGCAAAAGACAAGGGAAAAACATCAACGTGGCTGTTCAGGGCTGTGCACCAACCCTCTCCTGGCTCTCCATTTAGAGAGTTCATTTCAGAACTCAGATCAGAGCATTTACAGGGTTCATATCCTGACCATGGCACAGCAGAGCAGGAAAGAGGTCTCTAACAAGTCTCTTATACCCCCCAATCCATGGAGATGCTCCCCAGGCTTTGTTCTTGTGCCAAGCACCCAGTGTCTGGCAGCAAGGCTGTGTTTACATTGTGCTTGTGCTGCGCCAGATGCAGACTGGGCAAGAATCTGTCTTCTTTCAGGAGCCACCATCAGACTTGGCTGAGCTCGGTGCGAAATGCCGAGGCCTCAGGCACGAGGAAACGATCCAGCGCCAAAAAGAAGGTTTGGCCGAGCTCCGGGAGAGAGTAAAGATGCTGGAGAAGAGACAGTGCTCAGGTGAGCAGGGCTCTCCTAGAACTATGGAATGGTTTGGGTTGGAAGAAACTTCAAGGACCATCTTGTTCCACCCCCTGCCATGAGACACCTGCCACTTTCTCAGGTTTCTCCAAGCCCCGTCCAGCCTGACCTTGGGCACTTCTAGGGATGAAGCAGCCACAGCTGCTCTGGGCGTCCTGTGCCAGGGCCTGCCCACCCTCACAGGGAGGCTGGGAGAGCTGGGCAGCCTCAAAGTTGTGTGGAGAGTGGAACAATTTAGCACATGTTTGTTTGCCTCCAGGTGCTGTGAAGAGCAATTCAGAGCCACTGGTGGTCTGGATGAAAGACTTACCAGAAAAAATAGTCCAACAAAGACGCCTTGAGCTGGAACCTGCTCCTGTGTTGGGAGAAAAACTGAAGGCTGGCAAGGTAGGGAGGCAGTGTGTGGTTTGTAATGCCTGTGACTTTGTTTGGAAAGTACGCCCTGGGAAAGGGAGAAATAGGTTTTCAGAGACACTGCATAAGGAGTCAGGGAGATGCAGCCTGATGGATAGCAGGCAGTGCTCCTGCAGAGAGTGGCAGCTCCATCAGGACCAGCACATTGCCTGGTGCTGTTGGAGTAGCACCAGGAATGCCATGGGCTGAGCAGAGTGGGAGGCTTGGGACCACAGCAATACTGGGGTGATTTTCCCATGGGGTGAAAGGGAGGCACAAGGCCACTTGACCAAAAAACACACCCAAAGAGGGCTCCATGGGTCTTTCCCTGTCTTTGCAGGTTCCTGACCATGTTCCTAATGGGAGCTCATTCAGGATCTCCAACAGTGCAGTGAGCTTGGAAATGGCTGAGGCAACAGACTTGGGTGAGAAGATGGTATGTCAGGGATAGATGTGGTAAATGATGTAGAGTGTGTGTACATGCCCAGTGTGTAGAGTTTAGATGTTTTTTGAAAACATTTTGGAGGTATGTCACATCAGGATGCTGGAGGAATGTTGAAGATTAACTGCTTTGTGGTCCAGTTAAAGACATCCCTGTCCATGGCAGAGGGGGTTGGTTTGATGATCTTTAAGTTTCCTTTCCAATCTAAATTATTCTATGGCCCAGAGCACATTATGTGTCTGCCAGGACATCCTGGTACCCCAAAACATGCCATGGTGTGTCAGAGAGGCTGGGGAGCAATGGAGGGAGCTGCCAGGGAAGGGGTCCACGGGTAGCACAGCTGATGGGTTGTGTAAGGGGTTTCTTCCCTCCAAAAATGCAGGGAAACCCAGTAGGGAAAACAGTCATCTTAGAAAAAGAAGCAATCCAATCCCAGTGAGGTGTGCAGCTGGGAATGAGATGCAAACCTACTTTCCTTGGGACGCTGTCATGTCCTCAGGAAAGCAGACAGAAAGCAGATGGCTGAGCAGCATGATGGAATGCAGCAAACCTGGTAAATAATGCATTCCCTCTTCTTCCCACAGTACCTTGATGTAATCGGTGCTCTGGGAAGCCTGGTGGAGATGAAGGAGCTGTCAGGAATGCAGCCTCTGCAGCACCTTCCTCAGGAGAGAAGGGCAAAAGTGGGACTGCAGAGACAGAAGGCCCTAGAGCTGTTGTACAAAAAGATCAGGAACCTCCAGGTTCGCCTGGAAAGGAAAGAAGAAATGCTGAAAGATTATGAGGGGAGTGTGGAGCAGCTCAGGTATGGAAAGTCAGGGTTCTGAACAAGACCTGATCCTTGGATGCCAAGTGACAGGGAGTTTGGGGCAAGAAGTGACATGACACTGCTGAGTCCTGTGTCTGTCTGGGACCAGTCTGTGTCTATGGCCACGGTACAAAAGTCAAATGTCAAGAGGAGTGGGGAAAGGTCCTCCCAGTTGTCTGCAGTGGTACCTTCTGCAGCCTCACACAGTTGAGCAGTGTCAGAGCTGGGAAAGCCTTGACAAGTTCCCTTGTGCTGGGTGGCTGGAGCCTGGGACAGCAGCGGCATCAGCTGGGGCAGAGAGATGATGTCCAGCAGGACCAAGGAAGGCGTGGGAGAGCACAGTTGGTAAGGGGAAAAGACCAACAGAATCCTCCCCTCCTGTTCTGCACAGGCAGAGCCAAGCTTCCCTGCAAAGGTGCCAGGAGGAGATGTCCAGCCTGGAAGATGAAGCCCACAGGGAGGCAGAAGAGAAGGCTCTGCTGAGAGAGGCTCTGGAGAGGATGCAGCTCCAGCTGGACCAGGAGAAGAGGCTGCGGCAAGCGGCCAAACGGTGCAAGGTGAGAAGGCAACACCTAACTCTTGCTCTTTGTACAACAGCCAGCTCCACCTCTTGGGAACCATTCACAGAGTGGTCAGTCAGACCATCCCAAGAGGCTGGAGGTTCCAGGCCTCCAGTGCTCAGCTGCAGCAGCGTGGCCAAATCTCTTGATGAAGTTGGAGGAGGTGCAGACACCTGTAGGGATGGGTTTGCACCATGTATGGGGGCAAGGGAGAAGAGCAGGTCATGCTGAGCTCTCTTGGTCAACGCTGTGTCTGTTGTCTCTCTTCTGCAGCCTGGAGCCACAAAGACTCTGCTCAGGCAAGCCGAAGGCCAAGGAGTGCATGGCAGATGCTGTCAAATCAGGAAGCTCATAGGAGCAGCACCACGGGGACCTTCACTAGGTGGTGGTCTGCAGTAGGAACAGTCATCGCTGCGGACTCTGTGAGGGTGGAGGTGGAGGTGAGGGTGCATTTTGAGGAGCTCCAGTTTGTATCCCGTAGCTCCTGGGCACACTGGTGTGACTGTACAATGTAGGACCTTATCTTCCCACAGTCCATGTCCCATTAGAGTGTGGCGGGATTTATGGCAGTGGAAAAGGTGGTGAGGATATATACAGTGTACAAGTGTGTGTATTTGTGTGTGTGAATACAGCCTAGTGATGTGTGAAGTCAGTTGTGGGTAGTGTGTCCTGTCCTTGCTGAAGTGGCCTCAAGCACATGAAGCCAACATGGCTTCAAATACCCCTTGTAACTCCTGTGTCCTCCAGTCTCCATCATGTCATGGGGAAACTGGAACATAAGGCACAATGTAGTATGGAATTCTGGAGTTCCTGGAACACCCCAGGAATGCTGGACCTGCCACCTGGGAAGGGGGAAGAAGAGGACCTATGTCAGCCATGCCAGTACTGCAGCAGCATGAGGACAAGCTGGGGAGATGAGAGCGATATACTGGTGGGGTGCGGTGGGGTGATGGCACAGGCTCACTTACTGATTCTTACCCTTAGCAAAGGGGAGAGCAGGCCCTGGATTTTGGGAAACAGCAGTGCTTTGGAGAGTGGGTCCCTGCAGGCAATAAGCAGCTCCAGCACATCATCCCTGCAGCCGCTCTGCCTCAGCATCGCTTGGAGCAGTCCATGTGCCTCTGCAAACCTCTTCAGCTGAGGTTAATTTGGATGTAAGCAAACCCCCACTGTGGTTTCTTGGTCTTTATTTTTTAATAGGAGAAAAAAGGTCTGGAAGCAACACAGAAGGCTGCAGTGGGCTGATGCAGGGTTGCATCGTCTCTGGGCATGCACGTGTGCACAGTGGCCGATCCCTAGTGGGGCTCTGGGCATTGGTGTGGCCTGGTTTTCCTGCTCCCTATGCCAGGAGAAGCTGGATGCTTCCCTGTCTGAATGCCTGGGTTTACTTTGGGGCAAAGCATGACCTTGACCGATGCTTGAGTAGGTTAAAGACGCTGCCGTGGGCATCCTCTGCAGGTGTATCTGGAGATGTTGGGCTGCTCCATGACTCTGTGTGTCCTCTCCATGCCACCCTTGGCAAACTCTGGGTCAGGAATGGACGGAGATGGCAAGAGCACAGGTGGTTGTGAGTGCATCAGACTCCCCGTACTCGAGCCTATAGACTCATAGAATCATGGATTGGTTTGGGTTGAAAGGGATCCTAAAAATGGTCCGGGGGGATCCCACCGGGGTATGGTGATGCCGGGCCCTAAAGATCATCCCAGGCTGGTCCCGGTGGGGGATTGATGAGCCCTGCCGATGCTGCCGGTGGAGGGGAGGGCGTCTGAAGGGACGGTGATGGCTGATGGAGAGCGGCGGGGAGGGGACTCCTCCGGGGCCGGTGCGGGAGCCGGGCGGGCGCAGTCGGGCGGGCGGGGCGGCCCGAGGGCACGGCGATGTGCTGACGGGGCGGGCAGCCGGAGCCCCCCGGGGCGGGCGCGGGAGCCGGGGGGGGCCGGGGGCCACGGCCGGGGCCGGCGCCGGGCAGCCCCGCGGGACGGGCGGTGGGCGAGGGCTCGCCCGGGGGCAGTGGCCGCCGCGTCTTCAGCCCCGCTGGGGAGTTCCGCGAGTTCTCCCGGCGGCAGCTCCGCGACATGGAACGGCTCTTCCGACAGTGAGTGTGGGGCACAGGGAGAGGGGGGTCCCCGGATGGCAGCGCCGGGGGGGACGGGAGACACCGGGCATCCGGCACCCAGGACATCCCGGTTCCTGCATCTCGGCTTCTAGCAGGGCAGATGTCCCAGCGCCTCCCGCCCCGTGCTTGCGGGTGGGACCCCCCTAGTCCTTGTGAGAATGACCCCCATGCACCTCAGCCTCTTGCGGGAGGGATCTCCGGGCTCCTTGTCGGAGACTCCCCCCGCCCCAGCTCTGTGCAGCAGGGATGCCAAGGCACATCCAATTCCTTGCAGGAGGGATGCCCCTCCTGCCCCTCTCAGGAGGGATGCCAGGGACACCCCTCTCCCAAAACGCCTCCCAGGATTGGTGCCGGGGACACCTTCGCCCAGCTCCTTGCCGCAGGCGTTCCTGTGCGCCCCGAAATTCTCGCAGAAGGAACCTCCTGTCCCCCATGATGGGGTACCCTGGTGCTGAGGCCAGAGAAAGGGGTCTGAAAGAGGGGACCGGCAACCCCCACGTTCCTTCTGCCGCATCACTGAGGGATCCCACATCCCTGCAGCTCCCGGGGCCGCAGAGGCCAGGCTGGCGTGTCCTCAGCATCCCTGCCCGCGCTGCATGCCACCACGCGTGGCGGAGCGTGACTCGGAGCACGAGCTCGGCCCCCGGCCCCTCGAAGGGGGGGAGCTGGCAGCGAGCCTCCAGCCCTGGAAATTTCCAGGGGGAGCCAGAAATCGGGGTGACTCCAACCGTGGTCACGCTGGTATGCGCGGGAGTAGCCGGGGGCAAACGGGACAGCCCGGAGCATCCCCATGGATCCCGCGCTGGATGCTTTGTGCAGGAGGAGTGGAGACAGCGCGACTCCGGGAAAGCGCGGACATACAGTACAGGCGAAGGCATGGCTGCGACATGCCAACAGCCCTCAGCCCGTCTGGTACCGGGGGGCGGATCCGCATCGGCGTCCGGAGTGGTCTCGCTCGGACCCGAGCGGGGAGGCGGAGGAACTGGGGAGTTGGAGGCGGTGATCCCCGTAACACAAGGCTGGGGGGCTGCGTGGGGTAGGGGCACACCCCGTCAGCAGCCCTGGCGGCGCACGGTGTCTCCCTGTTCCCGTGTCCTCGTGGGGGGCTGTCACCCCCCGCCAGCACACGGCAGCGAGCCAGAGGCGCAGGTTGCTGCCAGCCGTGCATTGCAGCAGAAGGGAGCCTGGGCGGGGGCAGCGTGCTCCGGGCCCGGGGGGGGACGGCGGCCGCTCCCGGTGCCGGAGGCCATGGGTGGCCGTGCCGGGGTGCTCCGGGCGCAGATGGCCGGGCGGGTGTCGGCGCCGCGCAGGCGGGAGCGGCGCTCGGAGCAGACGTGTTTGCTCTGACAGCTGCGGCGTCTCGCTGCAGCGAAAGGAGCAGCGCCGGGGCTGCGAGCCACTGGGGAGGTTTGGGAGCTGGGGGTTTCCCAATGGAAGGATGCTCTGGAGCAGAGCCCTGCCATACTGTCCTCCCTGCTGCTGCTGTCCTGGGGATGTGACAATCCAGCTGTAGAGGATAAAGTGAAGCAGGGAAGGGTTTTGGCTCTCCACAGGGGAGATGATGCCCTTTGGGAGATGCAAGATGCTGGTATCCCAAAAAAACAGAGAAGGGGATTGAGAGGATGGAAGTGCCCTGCATCTGGGGAGGTGGCATGCATGGGATGAAGTGGCAAAGTCAGGCCAGTCAACTCGTCCCTTGCAGAGAAACTCTATGGGATGCAGGACGGAGAAGGCCTTTGGACAAGGTCATGGAGTGACAGGACAAGGAGGAAAGTCTTCAAAAGTGAGAGAGGTCAGGGTTAGTTTGGATACTGGGAGGAGGTTCATCTCCGTGAGAGTGGTGAGGCCCTGGCACAGGTTGTCCAGAGAAGCTGTGGCTGCCCCATCCATGAAAGTGTCCAAGGCCCAATGAACAATGAACAGGGCTTGGAACAACCTGGGAAGGTGTCCCTGCCCATGGCAGATAATTAAAATATGTTCTAACCCAAACCATTCCATGATTCTATGATCCTGTGCTCCAACAGGGGTACTAGAGGCAAAAATCATGTGGGATCTGTACCCACAGTCCCACTCTGAGGGTGATGGCAGCAGTAGGCAGGGATGAGCAGGACCAGCCCCATTTTGGGGTCCCTGGCAGATCAGGAAGGTGCTGGAGACATGGACGGAGCAGACAGCAGCAGGGGAGGTACAGATGAGTCACGGACCTGCGGCATGGGGAGCCGGGGCTCTGCGTGGCTGCTGCAGTGACAAGATACAAAAAAAAGCCTTGTCATAACGGGTGCTGTGTGTAGCTACCCACCTACAACGTGTGGAACTGTACAAAGCGTGGCTCTGTGCTGGCTCCCCATGGAGATCCTGCTGTGCCACGCCAGCACGCTGCTGGCACAGCCCATGGTGCGCAGGCAGGGGAGAGAACAGCAGGGTGGCTGCGGGGAAGCTGGAGGGGACTGTGGCAGGGCCACAGGCAGGAGTCTGAGGAGGGGCATTCCTGATAGGTCTGTAGGTAGCATCAGTGAGCAGAGCTCACTCTGAATTGGGGAGCAGTGCCCGGTGGGCTTAGCCCCATGGCTTGTTATCCCATGCTGCAGCCAAGGGGAGCATGTGCTCAGGCTCCTGGCACAGGGAGCTGGCAGCAGGCTTGGCAGCCTCCTGGCAGGTTCTCCTGCCAAGTGCCGCACGGAAACAGGCACGATCCTGGATAATGCTCCGGGGGGTTGTTAGCGGTTCAGAGGCAGTTCCCTGTGGTCTGGAGAGCTGCTGGAGGCCATCAGTGCCCGAGTCCTTGCTGAGCCCTCTTCACTTCCCAGCTAGTGTGAGAGCACACAGGGGTCTGCTGCTGGGGGTTAAGTGTGGGGGGCTGTGTGGGCTCTGCACCCCGTGGTGATGTGTCAGGATTGTGCCACCATCCTGCAGGTACGACGCAGGGAAAGATGGCTTCATTGACCTGATGGAGCTGAAGCTGATGATGGAGAAGCTGGGGGCTCCACAGACACACCTGGGACTGAAGAACATGATTAAGGAGGTGGATGAAGACCTGGACAGCAAGCTCAGTTTTCGAGAGGTGAGGGGATAGGAGGCTCCACGCTGGCAGGGAGATGACCCAGCCACTGTTCAAGATGGTGAGAAGGTGGGCAGTGGCTGTGGTGGCTTTGAGGTCTTCAGGGAGCCAATGCTACCATCTCCCCTCGCAGTTCCTGCTGATTTTCCGGAAGGCAGCAGCGGGTGAGCTGCAGGAGGACAGTGGGCTGCACGCCCTGGCCCGGCTCTCTGAGATCGATGTCTCCACAGAGGGGGTGAAAGGCGCCAAGAACTTCTTTGAGGCCAAGGTGAGGTAGGGTCAGGAGACCCCACTGCAAGATGGCAATACACCAGGGCAGTTTGGTTCTGGGTAGGCAGGAGGTGGAGATGTTGGGGTGGGCAGGATAGCTTGGCAGAGCTCGCAGCTGAACACTTCTATCCACAGGCACAAGCCATCAACGAAGCCAGCAGGTTTGAGGAGGAGATCAAAGCAGAGCAGGAGGAGAAGAAGAAGCAGGCAGAGGAGCTGAAGCAGAGGAAGGCAGCCTTCAAGGAGCTGCAGTCCACCTTCACGCAGTGACAGGGCCAGGCAGGACTGGACAGCGGTGCCCAGACTGGCAGCACTGCCTGTGCCACGTGGCAGCTGTGCCGGGAGTGATGCCCGAGCCGTGTGCCACCTGGGCTGCTGGCAGGATCCCGGCACGGGCTCGGCACAGCGCCCACCGTGCTGGCAGAGCCCGGTCAGCCCCAGCTCCCCCTCCCCTCTTGCTGTGGTGTCTGTAGGTGTTGTTTGTACCCCCCACCTCCCCAGCGTGCCCCCCACCCTGAACAGCACCCTGTTCTCTGCCTGCAGCTGCACTGGGGGTTTCTGCTGCTGAGTCCCAGGGGAGCTATGTCCAGAATGTCTGTCCCTGGGACACCTGTGCCCAGACTGTTTTACGTTGTGAATGCATTGGGAGGTTTGCAGGATGGGGGCTTGCACAGTTGGCCGTGGTGGGTGTTTTGGTGGCCATGCTGGCTCAGCGTCTGTTGGCATTGCTATGTCTGACACCAGTGACAAAAGCCATGGCAAGGGCCAGGTGCTGGTAGAGGGGCTCTGTGTGTTTGTGTGTGTGTATGTGTGTGGTGCTGGGGATGCGTGCCCACCCAGCTGAAATGGAGCCCCTCAGGAGCTGTGTCTCTCTTTATTTTGATCAAAGATGTACAGAAAGGCAGCTGCTGGCTCGTGGGGCTGTATTATGTTTTTTTATGTTGTATTCAGCCAGGCAGGATGAGCATGGTGGCCACAAGTAGTTGGCATGGGTCACTGAGGCTCTCATGTTTGTGGGTGGCTGTAAAAACCCACACCTGTCCCACAGTGTCCCCCAGGTGGCAGTATAGGGAGTGTGTTATGTTTTTTTTTTATTTAATCCCAAATAAATATTATATTTCTTAAATGCTGGTTGCTGGGCTGCAGCTCTGGGATGGGCATTTCTGTGGCACGGGCTTCGGTGGGGGGAAGGAACTTGGGGAGTGGGGTGTGACCATGGGTACATGGTTCCCACTGGAGATGGTGGCACTGAACAGGGAGGAGCTGTGGCTCATTGGGCCACCTGTATGGCACAATGGTTTGGGAAGCAGCAGGGATCTTCCAGGTGTTAGGATGTGTACCAAAGGCCATCGGCAGTATGACTGATACCTGTACCTTTCCCAGACTGTGGCACCTCTGGGGTTTTGGCTGCTCTTGACCATATCAAGAGTGAGATAAGGAGACCTTGTGCCTCAGGGGTGGTGGGGTGAGGGGGCAGTGCCCTGGTGAAGTCAGTTCTCAGGGCTGGGGGGCAGCAGGGCTGCCCAGCACCTCACTGACACCATCATAGGTGGGGGGCTGCCCAACAGCTGTGCCCCAGGAGGGACCCTGTGCCCCAGGAGGCACCCTGCCCCTTCCCAGAGCAGGGCCAGGTGTCCCCACCATGTCCCAGCATGGTGCCAGCGCATGACGGGCAGATGTGGCCATTCCCAGGTGGGACGGTGAGTGCGATAAGAGCAGGTGATGGGGCTGAGGAGCCCCTGTGCCCACAGCTTGGGACAGTCCCCACATGTCAGCGGCAGGCAGGGCCACTCCAAGGTCCCCGGCAGTCCGGACACTATAAGAGGGGAGAGCGGCCCCATTGCGGCACCTTTGCTCCGCACAACCATGCTGGGAGCCGTCTGTCTCGTCGTGCTGCTGGGCTACGGTAGGTGCAGGGGATGGGCAAGGGTCAGCGCAGGGGGGACAAGCAGCCTCTGATGTCCCTTTGCCCGCTGTCCCACAGCCTACGGATGCGGTCAGCCGGCCGTGCCACCACTGCTGAGCTCCCGCGTGGTGGGCGGTGAAGACGCTGTAGCCCACAGCTGGCCATGGCAGGTGAGGGGGCAGAGGGACAGGCATGGGCATGAGGATGGGGACAGGGATGGGACATTCTGCTCTGACCCTGTGCCTCTGCGCTCGCAGATCTCGCTGCAGTACAAACACTCCGGGTCCTGGAGCCACTATTGCGGTGGGACCCTCATTGCCCCCCAGTGGGTGCTGACAGCTGCCCACTGCATCAGGTGGGTGTTGGGGTGCTGGGGGGCATCTGTACCCGCAGGATGAGATATCTGTGGGGACTGACACCCCTTCTCTCCCTGGCAGCTCTTACATGACCTACCGTGTGGCGCTGGGCAGGCAGGACGTGTCAAAGGCTGATGAGCCTGATTCTGTAGCCGTGGCTGTGGAGAAGATTATTGTCCATGAGGATTGGGACTCCTACTACATCATGTAGGGGATGGGGGGCATCAGGGGTGGGTTGTGGGTTGTGTGGCCAGGGACCCTGTTCTCATGGCCA